AAAGGATCTTTTTAAAATAGAAATTTCCATTGATCCCGAGAGGAAGGGAGAGAGAGAAACATCAGTGATGAGAATCACTGATCCGCTGCCTCCTGCACGCTCCACACTGGGGATGGAGCCGGCAACCCAGGCCTGTGCCCTGACCGGGACCAAACCCTGACCTCCTGGTTCCTAGGTCGATGCTCAGCCCCTGAGCCCCGCCGGCGGCCAGGAGGGTCTTTCCAAGGATCACACATATCAGCCCCATTGCCCCTGGGAGACCCTCCGTGCTTCCTTCCTTACAGCTGAGTGAACCTGCTCCCACCCCAACTAAGGCCCGGGGAGCCCTGCCCCCTCCTGTGGGCTCTGCCCCCTCCTGTGGGCTCTGCTCGCTCCTTGCCTTCACCCACCCCTGCCTGAGCGCTCTCTCTCTCCCTCCCCCTAAAACAGGAACCCTTCCCAGTCCTCCTGGCCTTCGCCCAGCGGTTTCCTCCCCTGAACTGCTCCTTCCAGTCCGGGTCCCCTCCCGAGAGCACGCCCAGGCCACAGGGCTGCCTCCCCCCTCCCCCACCCCACTGCACTTGGACCCCAACTGTTCATCTACTCCCTCCCTCCAGGAATGTCAGCCCTGCAGGGAGGGTCCGGCTGCCTTCCCCACTGCCCCTCCCCCATGGATCACACTTGTTCCACATGCACTGTCCCCCCCAACACCCGCCTTCACAGGAGGGGCGGGGCCGGGCCTTGTGCAGGGAAGCAGGGGCTCGGAGCCCCGCCCAGGCGCTCCCTCCCTGTGCCCGCACTCCCGCCTCCTCTGAGGCAGAAGTTCCTGGGCCACAGCTGCAGGAAGTTACTGAGGTGGAACCTGGGGTGGCCCGCACTGGTGACCAGGGTGGGACCTCAAGCCCTCCCCCACCCCACCCCGGTGGCAGGAGCGGCAGGAGCGACAGGAACCTCGAAGTGCCACCCATGTCCCCTCCTTCCAGCCCAGCGGAAGAGTCACCTGCCCTCCGGCTGTCCCCACCCCAGTGCTTTCGGGTTTAAATTCACCCTCTGGGGCCCTACACACCTGCCCCCATTTAAAATGAGGCAGCCCGGCCAGCGGGGCTCAGTGGTTGCGCATGGACCTATGAACCAGGAAGTCAGGGGTTCGATTCCCAGGCAGGGCACATTCCCGGTCAGGGCACATTCCTGGTCAGGGCACAGGCCTGGTTGTGGGCTGGATTCCCCAGTGTGGGGCATGCAGGAGACAGCCGATCCATGATTCTTGCTCATCAGTGATGTTTTTATCTCTCTCTCCCTCTCCCTTCCTCCCTGAAATCAATAAAAATATTTAAAATATAAATAAATATAAGGTTGAGGCAGCCCTGGCTGGTTTGCTCAGTGGATAGAGAGCGTCAGCCCAAGGACTGGAGAGTCCCGGGTTTGATTTCAGTCAAGGGCAGGTTCCCCGGCCCTGGTCAGAGCTCGTGCAGGAGGCAACCAATCAACATCTCTCTCTATACCGGCGTTTCTGTCTCGCCCTCTCCCTTCCACTCTCTCTAAAAACTCAACGGGAAAACATCCTTGGGTGGGGATGAACAACAACAAAAACTGTCAAGGTGAGAAACCTGTAAGAATTCCTGTGAGTTTATTTGAGCCAAATTGACGACAATTGCCAGGAAGCAGCCTCTCCTGACAGAACATGCCTGAGGGTGGCAGTTCTGCAGCGTGTTTCACACGTTAGCATCAACGCAGGAGGCGGAAGGGGTCACCTGAGATCCCTGGTGGGAGTCGAGGGAGGTGGGAGGAAGCCCGGGGGCCTCTGGGATTGGGTAAAAAGTAAAACGGGGGGGCTCGCCCTTGGCAGGACTACTAAGGTCCCCAGCACATGGAGGTGGTATTCAGGGAACACAATGACAGGAGGCATCTGTGGTCCCTGCTCCGGGGGGAGGGTGTGCCCGGAGGAAGAGATGCTGTGACGTTTCTAAGGCATGTTGTCTTGGAGGCCACAAGTCCAGTAAGGGACAGAATGACCTTTGTCAGGAGATGCCGGCCTAGGACGTGATGACCCGCCTCGACTCGCGTGTAGTCAGGAATTTTAATTCCAGCTCATCCTGTGTGGTTGCTGTGGGCTTGTAAGGCTACCACCGAGCTTGCCGGGTTTAATATGTGGCTTCGGCCCGGCCGGCGTGGCTCACTGATTGAGCGTCACCCTATGAACCAGGAGGTCATGGTTCGATTCCCAGTCAGAGCAGATGCCTGGGTTGCAGGCTTGATCCCCGTGTGGGGCGGGCAGGAGGCAGCCGATCAATAATTCTCATCATTGATGTTTCTCCCTCCCTCTCTCCCTCTCCCTTCCTGTCTGACATCAATAAAAATACATTTTTTAAAAATGTGACTCTGTTTTTCACCCCAAAAACATCCCCCTGGTCCTGGCTCTCCCCAACCTGTGCCCCAGCGGTACCATGAAGGTCACTGCGCCTCCCCTCCCTGCCCCCACTCGGTGCTCCACTGGGAGGCCGAGGGCAGAGACTGCAGCGCCCAGGGGTTCCAGTAGCCCAGGACCACGCACAGGTGGCACATGGACTGAGGCCCGCCAACTACGGGGCGCCCCGTAAGGGTCTCCTGGGGCTGCCGTCCCCCCTCCTGCCTCCCCGCTGCTCTGTGGGCTCTGCCCATCCCTGTGGGCCCCACAGTTGGGACTGGCCAGAAAGGCCTCCCTCCCCCTCCAGCGCCCTCTGACCCTGAGCCAGGCTGCTGAGGTCACGGGCTTTCCTGCAGGTCCCAGACCCCGGAGGTGGTGCCCTTGCCCGCCTCTCTGAGGAACGGATGGTCAAGGTACCCCCTTCCTTGCCCAAATCCTGGGCCGGATGGGAGAGACCTGATCTGCCCACTATTTTGTTTTTCCTTTGATTCCAACGGGCCTCCCTGACTCACCACCGCCCGCCCTCGCTACGCCCTCGGGACCACGGGCTGTTGACCACAGAGGCAGCGTTTAGGGTTACATCAGGCCTCAGCTGTGCTTCAGCTCCAGAATGACCCACGCACTGCATCCTGGGAAACCAGAGCAGGCGCTGCCCAGCGACGTGGGCCCAGGCACCGGCCCACCGCCCGCTCTAGCCCTCGCAGGCCGTCCGAGCATGAGCACCTGCGATGCTGGTCGTGGCACCACCAACTCCCAATAAGCCCTCGCTTCCTGGCTGCAGTCCTGTGTGTGTCCTGTTGGGCTTTGCTGTGCAGGCAAACGGGCCTCCCTGGCGAGCCGGGCCTCTGTCCGCCGACAGCTCTTCAGGTCAGTCCCAGACACAGGAGTGCGTTCCCTCTGAGCCCTGTGTGTGGAGCTGACATGATTGTCCAGAGTCCTAACCTCCCCCCGCCCCCATCATCCTCAGTGAAGTGTGTGGGGAGGTCACTATAGGGAAGGACACTGCAGACCTGGCACAGAGCCAGGAGGACAGGCCTGCCCAGACCCCCAAACCCTGAAAAAGCCGCCGAGGCCCAGCCCTGCTCCCCGAATGAATCACTCCACGGCCGCTTCTGAAGTCAGCTTTATGTCAAGCTATAAAAACACGGACCGTGCCCCGAGGACACGCATACAAAAGCAGTGCTATCAAAAATAACATCAGTGACATCCAACATGTGAACGACAAATGTACAAAGGCTCTGTGCACCGTTTTCGCGGCCAGTTCCTGGCCAAGTACCTGGACGGAGAGACGGACCCTGGAGAGAGAGCTCGCCCGACCTGGCGGCGCCCTCAGAGGCGGAGTCACACCTGAATCGGCTGAGGGCCTCCCGAGGACCAGGCGCTCTCCAGGGCAGGGGACGAATGGAGGCCGTGGTGGGCAAAACCATGGCCCCCCAAAGATGCCCACGCCCTAAGCTCTGGAACCTGTGACCATGGGAGGTTCGCGGGAAAGGGAATGAAATCAGGCTGCCACCCAGCTGGCCTCACAGAGCACGGTGCTGGGCTATCCGTCTGGGTGGGACAGAGGCAATGGCTGGGCTCCTCGCGAGTGGAAGAGGGAGGCGGGGGAGCCCTGAAGCCCTGCCCTGTGAACGGCTTTGAAATGGACGGGACCACAAGCCGAGTCGTCTGGGAAGGTGGCCTCTAAAAACCTCTAAAAACCACAAGAGGTCAGGAATCCTCCCCCGGGAGCCGCCAAGGGGGCCCAGCGCCGGCCGGCCCCTTGCCTTCAGCCCACCAGACCCGCCTCAGAACTCTGACCCCCAGAACTGAAACTTAGTCTTGTTTTAAGTTACTAATTTTGTGGAAATTCGTTATAGCAGCAGTAAGTAACTAATATAGGTGCAGATGGGTCAGAGGTCAAGCTTGCCCAGCCCAGTGGAGGACCCAGGAAGGCACCCCTGGGCCTGGGCCTACCTGGGCGGCAGCCTGAACCCTAGAAGACCCAGGAAGCCCCTTTCTGGGCAGGGGGTGCCTTTGGGCAAGGCAAGCAGAGAGGGGTCGGGGTCTGAGCTGCAGGGGTCGCAGGGCAACCTGGAGGGGCTCTGGTGCCCGCTCTGCCCCAGCCTGCGGGTGACTGCCCGCCCCTTCCCAGGCCCAGGAAAGAGCGCATCTTTCCCTTCTTTCCTCCCAGCTGCCTGCCTTCCCAGACTTGCGGACCCAGCTGGTCGCAGCCCTGGGTGAAGGGGGCAGGTAGGTAAGGCTCGGCATCCGGCCCTAGGCACTCAGCCCCGGCCACGAGGGCAGCTCTGAGGTGGCCGGGGAGGGCCCCCTGGATAGGAGGTGACCCAGGGTCGCTGACCTCTGGCCACTCTGCTCCTTTAGTGCATGACGATCAATGGTCACTTCTCAGGTATGGTCTCTGGCTCCTCACAGGTGTGCTCCCGCCCCACCAGGCTGGTAACGAACTGGGAGCCGTCCGTTCCAGCTGCCCCCGGGCCTGCACCAGGCCGGGGCTGGGCGGCAGCAGCAGCAGAAGGCAGGAAGCCCGGGAGGCCGGAAGCCAAGTGGGGTGACTGGCTTGAAGTGGGGTGTGTCCGAAGCTCGCCGGGGCTCACAAGCAGGTCAGTCCGCAGGAAAAGCTAACCAACCTTTATAAGTGAAAATAGGGCCTTGGCGGCCTCGGGGGCCCCTGTGTGGACGTCCAGGATGCTCCGGATGCTCTTGACTTCACTGCTGGACATCCCCTTGATGGCCAGGATGGCGCTCAGGTGGCCTTTGCTGTCAGAAGGAAGTCCCGTCAGTCCAGCCGGTCACCAACGCCCCTGCTCACACCCTTCCCGCTCTCCAGCCTCCCGGCCTGAGCCACAGCGCCCCGCAGCAGCTGCTGCCCGCTCTCCTCCCATGAGCTCCAGCAGCATGGCCGCCCGGCACCCCGAGGGCACGCCTGCTCCTGCCACCTCAGGCCTTTACCTGGCTGTCCCTCCTGGAATCTCTTCCACCTGCTCTGGAGGAGACCAGCTCCTCTCACCTTTAAGTCTCAGCAAAAATCACCTCCCCAAGAGGCCTTCCCGTCCCAAAAGCCAGCACCTCCTGCCGGTTACAAAACCTTTCCAACGTGCAGGTGTATCCCTTTGCCTGACTACTGTGAACCCTCTGTGGGCTATAAGCCACAGGAGGGAGAGCGGAGGCCTGCTCCGTCTTGTACATCATTGCATCCTGGTACCTAGAACCGAGCCCGGCACCTGGCAGACCACTGCTAATTGTGGGTGGGCTGGTGGGTGGGTGGTGGGTGGGTGGATGAGTGAGTTGATGGGCGGAAGTTGATGGATAGATGCATGGATGGATGGATGGATGGATGGATGGATGAATAGGTGGGTGAATATATGGATGGAAGAGTGAGTGCATAAGTGGATGGATGGATGGATGGATGGATGGATGAAAGGATGAATGAGTGAGTGGATGGGAGGCTGAGGGGTGAATGGATGAGTAGGTGAATGGAGAGATGCAGAGTTGGGTGGATGATGGATGGATACATGAAAGGATAGGTGGGGGACGTGTAGATGGGTAGGCTCGATGGGTAGACTTGTGGAGGGTGGGTGAGTCGATAGCTGGATGGCTAGATGGGTGGTTAGATGAGTAGATGGGGAGATGCTCCTTGTACGGGTGGGTGAGTAAGTGGGTGCGTGTGGAGGTGAGTGGGTGGCTAGGTGGATGAGTGCAGTGGATCAGCCAGGGGCTAAACTAGGCTGAGCTGTCAATCCAGCTCAGGGCCCATCCAAACGCTCTCCGTGTCAGAGGACTCGGCCCCAAAACCCATTTCCTGGGCTCACAAGATCCTCAGGCAACCGCCACGCTGGAACGGGGGACCAGGACCCAGGGCCCAGGTCCAAGCCCCAAGCCCCCAGGATCCCTAGGCTGAGTGGTGGACCCAGCTCCATCACTGACCTGCTACAGCCTCTAGCAAGTCCCTGGTCTCTCTGGCCTCAGTTTCCCCTCCAAGGGGCAGTATCATCACAGGCTAAGAGTGGGACTGTGGAGCCAGACTGCCTATATTTGTCATCTTAGCTCCACCACCGACTCACTGTGTCACCTTGGACACGTGCCTTTAGCTCTCCAGGCCTCATATGTGAATCAGGGATGAAAAGCATTAGTCTGGCCTAGCCCGTTTGGCTCAGTGGCTAGAGCATCTGCCTGCGGGCTGAAGGGTCCCAGGTTTGATACCGGTCGAGGACATGTGCCCGGGTAGTGGGCTCAATCCCCAGGAGGGGGCGTGCAGGAGGCAGCTGCTCAGTGATCCTCGCTCATCAGTGATGTTTCTGTCACTCCCTCCCTCTCCCTTCCTCTCTGCAATCAATACAGATAGATGATTAACGAAGGAAAGCGCCAGCCTGTTGGGCGGTGGTGAGGCTCAAGGGAGTGAGCCGCTGTGAGGCTCTGCCTGGGCGCCGGCAGTCGCAGCCTCTGCAAGGTCGGCAGCCAGGACTGCGGTGCATGGCCAGGACTGGAGCACCCCCCACCCCAAAGGGGCTGACGCAGCCAAGCCAGGCTCTAACAGTGGGGACCGGCAGGGCCATGCTGACTGCCCAGGCCCGGCTGCCCGGTCTCACCTGAAGTCAGGGTACCAGGTGGCGTAAGTGGCCACCTCGATCTTGATGGCACTGGGGTCTTGCAGGCGGATGATCTCGGCGAGGGTCGGGAGGGCGTGGTCCAGCCAGGTGGCCGGGGAGCCCTGCAAGCACAGGCCTGGTTGGAGGGAGGCTGTCCCTGCTCCAGCAGTGCCCCCGGGCCCAGAGTGGTTCCACCAGAACCAATGGAGCTTGGAGAGGCCCAGAGGGCAAGGGCAGCCATGGGGGGCCGGGGTGGGTGGTGAGGGGGTGGAGTCGGGGCTTACACTCTGGGTGCAGAAGGTCTGGATGACGTCGGCGTTGGCCAGGACCTGCCCGGCCAGTTGCTGCTGCTGCTCCGCGGTCTTGAGGACCACGCGCCGCTTGCAGAGCCGCACGATGTACTCCTTCACCAGGTGCAGGTGGACAAGCTCCATGAGCTCCTGCGAGGCCAGGGGCAGAAGCAGGGCCGTGAGCCAGCTCCCCACGGGGCTCACACCCTCCCCTGACAGGAGCTTGAAGCCTCGGGGGCCAGGAGTTCAGGGAGGACAGATGCCAGGGCAAAGGAGTGCATACATGTGTGTGCGTGTGCAGTGCTGGTGGGTGCGTGCACAGGCCTGTGTGAGCCCATGTCCACTGCCCCGCTGCCAGGCCCAGCCCAGCCCAGCCCAGCCCAGCCCAGCACCTCACCTCCTGGAAGCACTCGCGCAGTTCTGAGAACTCGGGCAGCCTTGTCTCCACGGTGGAGACGATTTCCTCCAGGGTCTGTGCAGAGGCCGCCCAGCGGGTCTGTGTGAACCTCTTGAACAGCGGCTGCAGCGGGAGAAAGGCAGGATGTCTGGACCCGCCCTGCAGGGGAAGGCGGCCAGCCACACACGCAGACACGCACACTGACTCTCGGGGTGGCCCAGGGGCCAGGGACCCAGGACAGGACTCAGGTCACAGGCAGGAAGTGGAGGGGGGGTCTGTGTCCCCTTCTCCAAGGACACCCAGCTGTGGCCCCTGCATCGCAGGCGGCCTGCAGAGGCCTTTTCCACCCTCCCCCCTCCCCTCCGCCCCCAAATAAATAAATTCCTGCATAAACAAAGCCTCGCGCCTGACTGGTGCCAAGTCATCCCCGGTCACTGTGTGGCCCTCACCGTCAACTGGCCACCCACGCCTCCCACTCTGGCCGCTGGGTACATGGCGGGCAGGCATGGGACCCCTCCGGCTTTTCTCCGGCCCCTCACCCTCTGCTAAAGTAACAAGGGCTTTCTGTGGATTTCTTGGCCCAGGCAGACATGGCGTGGCGGTGGCTGCCAGAGGCTCTGAGCATCACAGCTGGAGTTCAGG